TACATTCTTAAAGCTGTAGTTTGTAAAAGATGAACAGAGGTGATCATTTTCAGTTTCCCAACAAAACCATGGGGGGGGGGTTTGTTTATCTGCTTTATCTGTTTTGCAGTCAGTTACCTGAAGGCTCCTTGAAAAGTGTAACAGTATGTTCCAACTTGGACTTTGAACGGGTGGATTGACACAGAAGTTTTTTTATTTAAGTTTTTAACATTCATATCCAAAGCAGGAAAGGAGAAGAGAACTCCTGACAGCAAAAAATAACAAAGTGTGAAAACAGAACAGACAACGTTTAAAAAACAAACTTTGAGGACCCATTTACACTCCGGTTAAGGCTGGATAAGTATTCAAATGTATGAATGGACTTATTTGATGACACTCCACTGGAAAAATGCGACCTTGTTTTAATAAACGCAGCAGTGATTTGAATGCCATTGCTCAGCCCTAACTGTTGCATAGGAAGACAGGGGTTATGGTACTGTCTAGGCTAAGTCCTCTTCTCCCTCCTCCTCAAACTCTCCCTCTTCCTCAGCAGTGGCGTCCTGATATTGTTGGTACTCGGACACCAGATCATTCATGTTGCTCTCAGCCTCAGTGAATTCCATCTCATCCATGCCCTCGCCAGTGTACCTGAAACAAGAAACACTCACTCAGATGTGTGGTGACAAACTCGTTTGAGTCTAGAGGTACAATGAGAAGTCCTGCACAAACACAGGGACAATCATTTCACTGTCCTGATACTTACCAATGGAGGAAGGCCTTGCGGCGGAACATAGCAGTAAACTGCTCTGAGATGCGTTTGAACAGCTCCTGGATGGCTGTGCTGTTGCCAATGAAGGTGGCGGCCATCTTGAGACCGCGGGGAGGGATGTCACAGACGGCGGTCTTGACGTTGTTGGGGATCCATTCCACAAAGTAGCTGCTGTTCTTGTTCTGAACATTAAGCATCTGCTCATCTACCTCCTTCATTGACATGCGGCCTCGGAAGATGGCGGCGACTGTGAGGTAGCGCCCGTGGCGTGGGTCACAAGCTGCCATCATGTTCTTGGTGTCGAACATCTGCTGGGTGAGTTCAGGAACGGTCAGTGCCCTGGGAAAAAGACAAGATAATGGAGTTAAGATTCATGTCACATGCATTGGAAACAACATAGTGAGGGTTTAATTAAGTGTGTAAAAAGCATGCTTGTGCCTCTCTACCTGTACTGCTGGCTGCCGCGGCTGGTCAGGGGGGCGAAGCCCGGCATGAAGAAGTGCAGCCTGGGGAAGGGCACCATGTTCACGGCCAATTTCCTCAAATCGGCGTTGAGCTGCCCGGGGAAGCGCAGGCAGGTGGTCACCCCACTCATGGTGGCTGAGACCAGGTGGTTGAGGTCACCGTATGTGGGTGTGGTGAGCTTCAGTGTGCGGAAGCAGATGTCATACAGAGCCTCATTATCAATGCAGTAGGTCTCATCTGTGTTCTCCACCAGCTGGTGGACGGAGAGGGTTGCATTGTACGGTTCAACGACTGTGTCTGACACCTGAAATGTGAAAGAGAAAGACAAAAAGAGATGAAGGTAAGAAATAAAGACAAGAGGGGCGTGAGACAGAATTTTAATGACATGATTTCTATGTTATGAACCTTGGGTGAGGGCACCACACTGAATGTGTTCATGATGCGATCTGGATACTCCTCTCGGATCTTGCTGATGAGCAGCGTGCCCATACCAGAGCCGGTGCCTCCACCCAGCGAGTGGGTGAGCTGGAAGCCCTGGAGGCAGTCGCAGCTCTCTGCCTCCTTCCTCACCACATCCAGGACCGAGTCCACCAGCTCCGCTCCCTCGGTGTAGTGACCTTTAGCCCAGTTATTACCTGCTCCGCTCTGGCCTGTGTGACATGCAAATACAGAGATTAATCACAGCTGTAGAGTCAACACTTCCTGGATCTGATTCTATTGGAAATATGACTCCATCACACAAATAACTGGTATTCTGTTTTGAATATATTAAAAGTTGAGCTGTGAAAAATGACTTTCAGCTATCACACTATGGGAATGTCATCAACCCAAGTTACAACACATTTCATTCTCACCAAAGACAAAATTGTCTGGTCTAAAGATCTGGCCAAAGGGACCAGACCTCACAGAGTCCATCGTGCCTGGCTCCAAGTCCACCAGCACTGCACGAGGGACATACTTGCCACCTGGTGAAGAAAACAGAGGGACAAAATGGAAAGTTAAATCAATACCCCACAGTGTTAAAGCACTTATATCAAGCAAAGCGATGCTCATAGCTTTTGAGATGATATTGTGCATAAAAAAGGTGCTAAGGAACAACTTTTTCAGCGTCCATGGGATGAGGTGATTACTGCTTGGCAACAGATTCTAATGTCTAATAATTTGAGTTAGTTAATGCAATTTCTACAATGACTGTGCTGTTTTCTAACTATTAATCATTATGACTTCGCATTTTTTGCAACGACATTATTGATCATATTTCTTTTCAGATAGCATAAAATATATGAAAACTAATTTCTAGTTTAGTCCTGGATCAGAGCAGTTTAATTGTGAGATGAGATGAGATTCAACTTTATTGTCATTACACATATACAAGTATAGAGTAACGAAATGAGGTTTGGCATCTCACCAGAAGTGCAATAAGCAGAAAGTGCAAGAGTCTGTGCTATGTACAGTAATTACAAAATTTACAGATGTAGACTAAAAAAAGTGAATTATTAGGTATATCTGGATGGCTGGATTAATGGGATGCTATAAATATAAATAAATGCTATAAATATAAGTGTATTCTTAGGATTATAATATACAGATTAAGGTGCAGTGAGCATGCTATACTAGATTAATTAATTAATTGTCTGATCGTTTTTAAGTTTCTGATTAAATGCAGTAATGTATCAGTTATTTAAAGTTACACAAGAACTAAACAAAATACTGTGATTCAATAGTTCATGGAGACGCTTCTACATTTGGTTTGGTTTTTAGTATCATGGAAACGAGGAGACAGTAACCAGGAAGGTGAGTCAATCAGTAACACTTTTCAATGGCGTCCAGCAGGATAAGGACCCCCTGCTGGGTGGATACGGTACTATCGAGCCTTGTGCTTAGTATTGAATTACCTTCCGTAGACATGAGATAATCTTATTGTGTAGACCGACAGATTGAACAAAGTGGGGTTAACCTGATGCTTCGTTGTAATACACGTTGATCCGCTCCAGCTGCAGGTCGCTGTCCCCGTGGTATGAACCAGTTGGGTCGATTCCATGTTCGTCACTTATCACCTCCCAGAACTGGAACCGGGAATAAAAACAATAAAGGAATATCATTAAGTTAGCTGGCTAAGTCTCAATACTGCGAAACCCAACAACGCATTGGTGGGCCGCTATGCTAACATTAGCTCTGAAGCTAAGTAAGCTCAACGAGTAGCCCGCCCAAACCACTTTTAAAATGTGCGCTCTTTCAAAGATCGTTACAAAGTTATGTTTCAAAACAAATATATTCTTACCTTTGCTCCGATCTGATTTCCACACTGGCCGGCCTGCAGATGTACGATTTCCCTCATTTTCTTTTATTGAAAATTAAACTTCTTGACGACGGAAACAGGCAACACTGTGACTGCTATCGGACTCAGCAACGGACTAACTGGAGAATGCAAGAGCAACGCATTCTACCAAGCGGTGGGTGAACGCGATTGGACAAAGTACACGTCCGTCAAAGCCCACCAGCGATGTTATTGGTCGAGAGAAAAAAAAAAAAGACTTCTGATAGGATGGCGCTTGAGATTCGTTGTCCTGGTAACACAATAGATTTTCAAACATGTATTATTGCATGGACACACCTAAGATTGAATTTTGAGCGTGTTCATGCGGGTTTAAATTCAACATTCGAGTTTCAATAAAAAATTAACAACTCATTTGATTTAATCTTTTAACACGAGCCTCGCTGCTGCTTTAAAAAACATTTTAAAAACTTTTTCTCCATCTTGTGATAGAAGGAAAATATTAACAACGCCTTCATCATTATGCTGCTAACGGTATTAAGACAAAACAACGAGTTATGTGAAGTAATCATACATGCAAGTAATTGCTTTTTTTCGCCACAATAGGGTGATTGGAAGCCATAAAACCAATGCGAAAATACACTCTGAGTTAAAAAATAATAATAATAATTTTGCTGCTAGTTTTCAGGGTCTAGTCTTTAAATAACCTACTTGTAGCAATGAAAAGTGTAATGTTACCCAATAAATCCAAATATTTCAACATTAATATTAAGTGTTTGTTCTTCATCAAATACCTCAGCTTTTACAGACTTCACTATCATGCTACTGAAAGTATATTCTAGTCTTAATCTGTGGCTCTGTTGAAGGAGAATTATTCCTCTTTATCATTCCTGCACAACATATTTCCATTGGTCTGGAAGTATAAACTAGAATACATAGATGTTGTGGTAAACTATTCTATGTTCATAATGAAATAATGATGGTGATCATTCCTCCTGATTTCTGTCAGAAAGTTATAGATTAATGGATGGTTGGTTGAATCTTTATTTAATAGCTTTAATAGCTGTAGTTAATGTTATTGTTGGGGTGCTTATTATTGAAGTTTGTAGTCTGCCACACACTTTATTACAATTCAATATTTCACAACATTACTTAAAACTGGACTTCAAAGTCACTGAGAATATAATATCAGCTGTGGTCATACTAGCTTATACCACAATATCTTTTAAAACAAAGGAGAAATAATATGTAAAAGAGTTTTAAAGATTGAAGATTAAATTCAGGCTCTTTCAGAGGTGCAGATAGCCTAATATCTAATTTTACATATCAATACCGACTCCTTGTTTTTTCACATTTCAGAGTTTTTAAACTATGTTTATAAAGTAAAATAAAAAAAAAATTAAAAAAAAAACACTTGCAGATAAAATCGACACCAAAAGATAAATAAAATGGAAGAAAAAAATGTATTTCCGGAGGTATTTCCGTCTAGTGCGTGACGTCATATTTGTGCGACTGTTTTTATGCGACGTTACTGTCATGGCTCTGTTTCCATCATTTGCTGAAGAGGCGACTAACAAAGTTGAAGATTCGCCCAAAGGTATCAACTCCTCCGTACTCAATACATTTTGATATAGTTTTTTTATTCTTCTTAATACTTTTGTGTCATTTTGTTGAGAAGATAAGCCCACTAGACTCTGTACAAACTTACAGGAGCTGCAGTCTACTTGTCGCTGTAACACTATGTGTAACATAATAACTTTGACTACAAGCTTCTCAGTGTATGATAATGAATCGCCCCCATAATCCTTCTCTTGACTGAATAACACGTTTCTTTGTTTTATTTTAGAATTAGACTGGCTGAAAAACAAGAGTTTTAGGAGCGGAGATGCCCTCTCTCTTCATCATCGGTTTGCTGAGAAGACCAACGACAGGCAGAAAGAATCAAGGTGCGATCATTAGAGCCCACATTAAACATGAAAGATGATTCTGTTTCAGTGATTTGGGTTAACATTGTGGTTACCTTCTTATCAATAGTGTTGATAAAGACGTAAGCTCTGCAGAACAGGAGGAGGAGGAAAAGAGTAATGTGCCCCCCAAAAAGAAAAAAAAGAAGAGTGAAAAGAAGAGAAAAAAGAAGAAGAAACACAAAAAGAAAAGCGGGAGGTATTCTGACAGCAGTGGGTCTGACTCTGACACCATTTACCCCAGTCAGCTGAAAAAGGAAGAAGAGGAAAATGGGTATGGACACACACCTAGCTGCTTATAGCTAATGCTCTTAAGTTTTGATTTGTTGCTTTACCCCTGCTGTTTATTGGTTGGTTTGTTTATTGGTTGGTTTGTTTATTGGTTGGTTTGTCTTTACATCCACACAGTTCCCAACTTGCACCAATAGCAAGCCATTTCTCTTGGTTGGATGACCTTCAGACACGCACAGAGCAGCTGTTCTGTGTTGACCGTAAAGCAGACTCTGCCAACTGGACGTACAAGTCCCTATACAGAGGAGATGTAGCCAGGTAGGACACATGTCATCAAGTAACTTTAAAGACTTTGGTTGGTAAAACAGATGTTTACTTGGATCAAAATGCAGTGTAACATAATTTAAATGATCATTTTTGAATCTCTTTGTGTGCCAGGTATAAGAGGAAAGGAAGCTCATCCTTGGGTCTGGACCCTTGCAGACAGGGAGTCAGCTGGGAGGAGTCAGAGTCAAATAAGAAACAGAAAGGCAGGGACAAGAAGAAATCAGCAGATAGATACTTCTCCACAGTCAGTCGCCAGCTCCTGAGGTCTGAGGCCCCTGTTCCTGCCATACCAACTATTCCTGAGTGCAGTGATGCCAATAGCCCAACCTCTTTTCTCCCCCTGCGTGACCATGAGGAGAAAAAAGGAGGACAGATGGGTAAGAGATTTCTCCACAACAGGTGGTGAAGATGCAGACATCCAAAAACCTGAGCTTATAAGTTTAAATACCATGCAGGTTATTTTAATTTCTGTTACTGCTGCACATGGGGAAATACAGTTTTAGGCTATCACATTCTTAACAGATAATAAGTTAAAATAGCCAAAATCAATATCAAAGTAAGGCTGACCTGATTTCAGGACCTTAATTGTGGATTGCCTTTAAAGCGTGGACCGTGTCCTCAGCTTGATAACTTCAAATTTGGAAACATTCATGGTTTGAGTGTACTTTTTCTGTTTTAGAGATATCATGGCTATATGACATATATTTTTAGTCTTTTTCTTTTGATTCCTCACATCTAACTTCACACCTTCAATTTTTTCTATCCAGGTGACAGAGTGCAGACATCATGGGTCAATCCCCTGGGTGTGTATGACTCCTCCACAGCGCTCTGGCTGCAGGGGAAGGGACAGCCAGACCAGACTGAGGAGGAGAAGAAGGACACACAGACGAAGCAGGGTGCGGTGCTTTTGGCCGGCAGGACTGAAGAGTTTAACAGGCGACTCAGAGAGCAGCCAGAAGACACACAGCTATGGATAGAATTTATAAGATACCAGGTAGTGAAACTCTACTCTTCTTTTTTATTTAGATTAGTGCTCTCTCAGCTTCACATTTCTTTAAAAAAATGTTAACTGCAGAGATGTGCTTTGCAGTATTTGTATTTGTTTGTATGAATGTTTATGTGCAGTAACTTGATGTGCAGCTGTAGATCCTTCACTCCCAAATTCAGAAAGTTAAAATCCTTTTTTTGTTAATGGAGCCTTGTAGATTTAAAGAGTTTTATCTTGCAGCCATTACAGCCTGGTAGGATGCTGCAGACTGAAACAATCAGACTGAGAAATTAAAAAAAAAAAACAACGTTTGCACTTATAAGCAATGTTGACACCAAAATCTAAGGTTTGAATGTCCTGTTTTGTTCTTCCTATGCAGCAGTACTTTGAGTGTTTATCTTCCTCTTTACCTCTATAGGATGAGCTGAGTGCAACAGTGTTTGGAAGCGGTGAGGAACAACAGGGCAGTGATTTGGCTGAGCGTCACAAGTCTTCCTACAGGGCAGTCCTGGAGAAGAAGCTCAGCATCGCAGAGCGTGCAGTCGAGACCAACCCGAGATGCATCGACCTGCAATTGGAGAGGCTCAAGATCTGCCAGGAGCTGTGGGAGCCCTCACTTCTAGCTAAAGAATGGAAGAAACTGGTTTGTCCACAGTGTTTAAAAGCTTTTATTTAAATCATGTGTAGCATGTGATCCTGTGTTGACATGTGTCTATGGCTTAAGGTAATTCTGGATGTGTCATCTATTGGATTAAGGTGTTCGTGCACCCAAACAGTGCCCCCCTGTGGAGGAAGTATCTGCTGTTCACCCAGAGCTACTTCAGCAACTTCACTGTGTCCAAGGTGAACTCAGCCTATGGGAAGTGTCTCAGTACGTTGAGCGCTGTGCGTGATGGCAGCATGGTCTCTCATCCCATCCTGCCCGGGCTTGAGGAGGATATGTTGGGTAACACAGATTTAGATTTGCATTTACAATTTTTTGGAACCTGAGAACTTTAATGATGCCAATTGCATACTCATTTAACCTGGTTCGATTCTCAGTGGCCTCAGTGGTTTGTTAAAACACAGACGCTTATTATCTGCATTTGATACATCATATTGAATGTATCAATATTTGAATCATCATCACACTTATTAAAAGTTGTTGTACATGTCCTGGTTGCCTTTTTTTTTTTCTGTCCAGATATTTTCATCCAGCAGTGTCACTTCCTGCGTCAGGCTGGTCACTCAGAGAAAGCCATTTCTCTGTTTCAGGCCATGATCGACTTTACTTTCTACAAACCTGACAGCGTACAGAAAATGTCCACTAAGCAGCAGGTAAACACACACACACACACAGAACAAATCTGCTGTTTATCTGAATTTAAAAAAACATAAACTGGGAATTACAAGAAAGTTGATTGTCACATAGCCGGCCTGAATGCATTTTAAATGAATCAATATCCGTGCAGCATGCCATCAAGGGCTCAGCTGATCCTGGTGAAAAACTGCAACGTCCAGCAGAGCAGAACAACCCCAAAATGCTAAACTGACTGATCAAAGTAAAAATAAGAATAAGAAAACCGTCTATGTTATTAAAATCCCCTCCAAAAAACTGGATGCAGCTGAGCAGCCGAGGCATGTTCTTCCTTAAGTGGCCTTAATGAAAGCTCCTGTTGGGATTGCACACCATGTTTATTTGTGAGGTTTCAAAGGTGCTGGTCGATGGATTAAAAAAAAAAATCTTTAGGATCTTACTCTCAACACAGAGTCAGGAACACACATCAGAGCTGTAGTTATTTTAATAAAGTGTAAATGTTTATTTTAAGTTAGTTTATGTTTCTATGTGTCTTTACAGGTTGAGTTCTTTGAGCCTTTTTGGGACAGCGGGGAGGCAAGGGTTGGAGAGGTTGGGGCCAGAGGTTGGAAGGCTTGGATGCAACAACAAGAGAAAGGAGGGTGGTTACAACCCAATCCAGGTAAAACACACACACACACACACACACACACACACACACACACACACACACACTTTTAAGAATGTTACCTTATTCATTTTTGATTTATGTCATGAAAAACGATTTTAGAATAACAAGAAAATGATTTCCATGTTGGTGTCTGTATGTTTTTGCGTCCACAGAGGAGGAAGAGGAGGAGGAAGAGGAAGGAGAGGAGGTAAAGGATCGGAGCCAGCCAAGATGGACAGTCTGGTTGGATGTGGAGTCATCTCGGGAAGCAGCCCACTGGCTGCCCTGGAGGCCTGACAAAGCCAAGGGCCAATCAGAAGAGGACTGTGAGGATCCAGACAGACAGGTACTGGTTGAAGCTGTCTCTGCCTTGTCATGTATTCTATGTTTGTATGCAATATGTAATATTGATATGAAGCTAATAAACAGAGGCACATTTTTTAACTCTTTGTTTATCTCTGTCTCTCCAACTTAAGGTGTTGTTTGATGACATCGGTCCGTCCCTTATTTGTCTGTCTTCACCAGAGCTCCAGCTCCGTCTTCTTCTCCGTTTCTTCTCATTCCTTGGCCTGCCTGTAGACTCAGTGCTCTCTGCTGCGTCCTGTCACCCCGGCCTGCTCCTGGAGAACCTTTCTCTGCTCACTAAGGGTAAAAAAGACAACATGGGTCAAAAGAGGGTTTTTTCAAAAGTTACTTTAAATCTTTTAAAATATAATCAGGAATTTACAAATCTGTCTCCATGCCACGTCCTAGGGAATGATCTCAGCCATCCCCTGACCTCCGGTGACCTACCTGACCTCGGTGTGGACTCTGTAGGTCACATGACCACTCTCCAGGGAACAAGGAAGTGGGTGGGGCTCGGGAAGCAAGGGGAAGGGTTCTTCACCAATGTTTTCCGCATGGTCCAACATGTTCTTCCTGCCCAGCACCGAGCCATCCTGTCACTCAGTTGGATGCGGTATGAGAAACTCAAAGTAAGTGTTGATTTATCTGACTCAGAAGTTACATTTAGATTGAAAGAAAAAAAAAAACGTCCATGTTTAAAAATAAAGATCTTACTTTTCTACCACAAGTGGTAGACCTGTGCACTAATTAACCTATTTGTAACCCCAGGTTTTGCGTTGCCTATGTAGCAGCAATAAAAAGCGCCTTCGCTCTCAGGGCAAGAGCAGCAAACGGGTTGCCAAGCAACTTCTCAAAGAACCAGACAACCGCTCGTCACTGGTGCTGTGGCGGGAGTACGCCCACCTGGAGTGGATGCTGGGCAACTTCGATGAGGCTCGCAAAGTCTTTTCCACCGCCTCGGCATTAGGGGGTACCAAAGGGCTGACTAGCCCCTCCCTCTGTGAGCTGTGTCTGCTGTGGGCCCAGCTGGAGGTGGAGGGTGGGGCAGGTTCACAAAGAGACGGCCTCTCTGATGTCACCATGTCCCCAGCTGTGTGTGTGCTAACTAGGCTAGCAGAGGGAACCTTCTCATCGTCCTCCTCATCATCACAGTCTCTCACTCCTGTTTCCATCCTGAAAGCCAGGAGGTCTTATGAGCAGACTCTGACAGCTGACTTGTTAGCCCTTGACCAAAACATCCACAACCTTGAAGTCAACAGAAAAGGTTAATATTCACAAACATCCTCAATCTGTTTTATTTGTCTAAGAGCACATCAGTATGTCTTTCCAAACATATCCCATTTGTTTGGATTAATGATGGCAAAGTTATTAGTCAAGATGCAACATGCAGGGACTTATGATCTAAGATGTATTTTGGGGCTGTTTGTCTTTATGATAGGGCAGTGGCTAGAGTAGGAAATTGGGATAGAGAGTGTTATCAGTAGTATTCTCCTCTTATTATTTCACAAGGTGAAGGGGACCTGCTTGGAGAGAAGCTGAGGCTGAGAGGCCTGGTTGGCTGCTACGCTCTGTTCCAGTACCTCACGATGGGCATCCAAGCAGCTAATGTTGTCTACAGCCAGGCTAGAGAGAGGATGGAGGAGCTGCACCACAAACTGACACTTAACAAACAGCTTAACAGTAACAGGGAAGCCGACCTAGGTGACTCGGTGGCTACCACTGAGGGTCGCCGACCTGGAGCTGATATTGGACACCTCAGCAGGCAGTGGATCAACAGGCTGGCTTCAGAGTGTGAGGAAGTTGCAGTACAGCAGGCAGGGTTGCTAAAGTACCACATGGGAAAAAGTGTGTTTCCACTGGCGACACTGAGACAGATGCTGACATCTGCTCTCTCTACCTGGTCCGGCAGCGCCCTCTTTGGAGCATATACATACAGGTGAGCTCATCAAATGTTCGTTCATCATTCTGGGTTCAGTTCAAATCAGAAAGTCACCTGCCCTTTTCTTCTTTTCCCAGATCTTTAAACTTAGCTTCAACTGAGTCAGTCCTTGTGTGTCCACATTCACAATGATCCTCATTCAACCTGTATTTTAGGTGGAGAACCGTTACCATAGTGCTGGGCGGGCCCGTCGCTTTTTCCACTCTGTAACTAGGGACAACGAAAGAGTGCTACCACGCCTCTTTGCCATTGTTGCTGAAGAACAAAGGAAGCAGCTGGTGGATGCTGCTCAGAGGTAAGGGCAGAACAGATGATGTGCAGAGTAATCTTGAAGCAGTACTCGATATGAAAATAATATGTAACAGCTTTACAAGATGACGTGATCTTTCTTTTTTGTTGATAAGCCAAAACAACTCTCACACAAGTAGTTACCAAAATTGACTTGACTTACAAAACCTTTTAGTAATTTAATCTTGTTTCCATAATCTTGTGGTGTTTATAGATCTTGTAACCATGACGCTGCTTTGCCCATCCTGCCAGAGAACGGCCTCAGCAACCGTATCCGTGGACTGTTTGAAAACACCATAGCAACAGAGCTGGGTTCTCACTGTCCTTTACTTTGGAGGATGTACATGAACTTCCTGGTAAGAAAATGATTAGCTGACTAAATCTCATTTCCTATACTTGAAAGTTGAGTCATACCCAAAATATCAGAGATGCAGATTTTGTATCTGCTCCTTTCCAAGATCAACCTGTTAAAAGGCTGAGGAGCTTACACTACTGCAAAAAGTCAAACAATGTTTATGGGTCGTTGTAAGAATTGATGGTGATTACGGCACCAAATCACTTTTAGTTTGTTTGTTTTTTCCAGACGTTCAAACCAAAAATGTAAATTTCAGAAATGATTGAAAAAGTCTGCCGCACCATGGGAACACTCTGATATATTCAGTGTGTAATTCTGCTTGTTTAGCATTGATCTTAGCCTATTTTCTCCTCATCTTCCAAATATTGACTCAGAGACAGACATATGTGAGCTAACATAACTATGCATGTAAACTTAAAGACCAAATATTGACCGTCAGTAAAGCCTTTTGGTTGAGCTTATGTGTGTGTAATTTGTATGTGTATATGTGCCATTTGTAGGTGTCAGAAGGGAAGCTGGATAAAGCCAAAGGGATCTTTTACAAGGCCTTACAAAATATACCATGGGCTAAGGTGAGACAGACATAACCATTATATTTCCTAACAACAGCTGTCCTCTTGTCTACATCGTTTTTTCATTGCACTAAAACTGTTCAATTCTCTTGCTCTCTGTCTTTGTGTGTGGGGTATGTATGAATGTTAATTTGCATTCATGCAAATGTGTGTGTATGTGACATGTGTGCAATCAGGGTTTGTACATGGACGCAGTGCAGCTGTTCCCCGAGCATCTCCAGGAGTTTGTAGATCTGATGACAGAAAAAGAACTCCGAGTGCGACTGCCTCTAGAAGAACTGGATATACTACTGGAGGACTGAACACACACACACACACACACACACACACACACACACACACACACACACACACACACACACACACACACACACACACACACACACAGCTGCAGTATAAAAGAGTTAAGTTGTTGTGATCTTCTCTAAGTTGGGCTTGAAGCCATCCTTTGTACATAATAACTTTTAACTCTTTTTCACAGCAAACTTTGACAATTTAATGACCAGACACTGATAATAAATATATGTTTCTCATTAGTACATTGTGGGCTCCAGGTTTGTTTATGCATGTCTGCTTATGGTGCATGTACTGTGACATATCATGAATTAAAACCATAAAACATGTTTTAAATGTATGGGAGATACAACTCCACACAATATTAGAAATTCTATACAAACACTAGTCCCATTAAATAGATGACACTTCCTTGGCATTAACTGTAATAGTATTATAATTATTACATTTAAAAGTTAGTCTTGTTTAAAGACAAGACAACCTTACCCAGAAACATAAAATAGAAACAAAGAGACAAGAAGTTTCACATTTTCATTTCTATTACAGTTTTTACAAGGCTACATACAATTTAATTATATGATCAGTGTAACTGTAAAATCGCATATCAAATAGGCCTAGGCTAATAAAAAAAATGTGCTGTAGGTATTTATATAGGCCAATATAAATCATCTTTTTTTTCTAAAAATAAATATTTTAACCTCCTGTTGCTCGCAACCATATTCGGCAGCTCACCTGAGAACTACCTGAGAGGCAAACTCTTTCGGTTTATTCATATCCACACAGAATCTACTGTACAGGACGGGTGGATTCGCTCCCTCCTTCTATCGTAGCCGCGCCGTGGTTTGACGCATTGCAGGTCCACCTTGGCCAATCAGCAGACACCGTACATCGTGCAGCGTATTGCGGTTCTGCTCTATCCAATCAAAATCCGTCTTTTAAAAACAAAACCGCAACTTTCCCAGTGCCGTTAGCCGCGACGATTTGAAAGTATCCTTCCGCCTGGTTAAGATTCGGTGTAACATAAAATAGTCCGCCACTGTGTAAATTACTTTCGGCAGATTAAAAACTGGCTTTTGATACGTGGAGACTCATTTCAAAAACATTTAGTTAAAAAAAATGTTCTGGGCGAAAACCTATTGTATGAACATCTCCATTATCCCAATGAAAGTTATGATTATAATTGTCTCCTCCTCATGTTTAGGTTGTTAAAGGTGGGCTATTATGAACTTAATAAGCTATTTCCTAATAGTTCTGCATACTGTCAAACATAATTTGGCTACAATTAGACAGCTGTTTTATTTGGGACATGTCATGAGACTCTGATTTTGATGCCAGATGTAATAACAGCCAATTGGCCAAGTCACAACAGATTTTTAGACCAGTGCCAGGTGGATGACTATATTGTGGCCACAAAGAGGACAGTGCAGTTAGTGCACAAGTACACAGTCACTGGAAGGTGTTTGAGACAGTCTCTGAAAGCAACATTTGCTCGATAACTCGGCATAAAATCGACTTCTGGCACTAAAAAGTAATGGCTACAAGTTAGCCCGGCTTACTTTTTTGGTTGTTCTAAACATCATGACCACAGAAATCTATAATTTAAATAGGATAACACATGCTATAATTGTATTTAGAGCACATTTCAAAGTATAGTGCAGAATTGCATCACATAGCCTATTAGTGTAATGCAGGAGAAACTCTTAAAAAGAATGCAGGGTAAGTTGTGCTTGTTAACATTAATGATAAAACTAGAAGATGAAGGGTTAATGTTAAATTGTCTGCCTGAAGTATTGAATGATAGTGGACCACACATTTGTGTTACTGACCTCCAGTGCAAAACAGAAATTGAGAAATGGTCAGTAATTTCGCTGCAGTCCACCTGCCACATGGGTTTTCAGTAAAATGGAACGAAATGCAATTGAAAATGTGTTAATCAAAGAGTATTTCACTACTATGATGTGAATCTTATGAGCTTTAATTTTACTTATGAGAAGTCAATGTGCATATCAAGCCCTTAAGATCAATATCAAGAAAAGAAGAGGTGTATTTTTTCAGTTTTGGTCCATCCCTTTTGTTTGAGGCTACCCCACCATTGTTGTTATTATAAAAAATAATTTTGAGAAAGGATATTTGACCAGTGTTCATCAACAGGTCCTATAAGCTTATCCGGATTTTATTCAATTAAATCCAATCTAGTTTGTGTGTGGATGTAGGACTAACAGAGAAAGGGGTTTCATTATTGTACAGCAACTATAACGTTATACACCTGTCAATTTATCCAAGGTTATCCAACAGGGAATTTCAAAAACGTGTTCTAATATTTTGTAATAAAAAAAAAAGATCAAGGAAACTTTAAGCACAATTACATTTATATCGAATTAAATTTAAATGATGTTTAAACGTTTTGTTAAGAAGCTAGTTTTCATGAGGTCTCAGGTTGACTACATGCAAGAACGCGAATTTTAATGGGAAAATTCAAAAACAATCAAGGCCTTCAACAGTAATGGCATATTTTTGACGAGGTCTTGAAAAAGGGATGGGTCAACATTTTTATTTTATGTGCATTGTCCTCCATAGAATTGCAGTGTTTAAATCAGCAGCAAACTTTAAACCCAAGAACTATAGGCACATTTCTTCTGATGCCATGTGAGTGGTTGATTGGGCCTGACATCAGTCTTGCAGCCTATCATGCAAGCCCTTACAAAAGTTGAATTGTAGCCTTCTCATACTTAAAATTATGTTCTCGTTCACAATTGGATCTCGTTTTGAAACAATGTAGGTTTGATAAATTAAGATGAGGTTCCCTGTGTCAAGCTTAGTGAGAAAGGTAGGCACAACTGCAGAGTCGAGTGCGTGTGTGTGTGTGCATGCAAGAGACGGTGGAGAGAGCTAGGGCCCCTCCCCCTCACAGTGCGGAGGAATACAGTGAGTCGTACAGCAGTGGTTCGTCTCGCCTGCCCGCCTCCTTCAAGCCTCGTTCAGTGGCAGCCGTCCATTTCCTATCTCCCCGTAGCGTTAGCAGACCAGCGTTTCCTACTAAAACAGACATGGTGAGTATTTAATGAACCGTTGTTTGAGATATGCAAGACTTGTTTATGTGTTGTGTTGACTTGAGGCGGCTTTTAGACTCTCGGGTGTCTCTCTGCTTGTCGGGTTGTTACGGAGCTCTGTAGCGGGTAGAATGGATTCAGCTGTACGTTAGCATGTTAGCTAGCTGCTAACTCTGTGACTGCAGACGAGGAAGAAGCTTCATTCTGTCATCGTTACATTTACTACTACACACTAATGAAATGATAACGATGGTTGAACTCAGCAGTTTAGTGTGCTGCTCGTTACAGGTGGCCACATATTGGCTGTGCTGGCAGCCGGAGTTAGCATCACAGCTACTGTAACGTTGTTCACATATTAAAGAGTGGTAAATGTGAGATTGTTAAGAAAGTGATGTTATCTGTGTGTGATGAATCTCTGCTTTTTTTGTATGCCGGGTTCATATCCAGATTTATGACCGAGCAAATGTCTGAGTCACAGAGTAGGACAGTTGTCCACTTGAGGGACGGATGGGTGAGCTTTGTGAGGTGTTTCCTGACAGATCTGCACCTTTAGACCTCCAGTTTCTGACCCTTGTGCTTTACACTGTCATCCTTCACAATCTGAATTATTATACTGTGTCACTTGTTGTGCATAATGATTTCAGATAACAACTGTCAAAGTACAACATGAAACCATTGTAAAAACCTGCAGTGGTCACAACTCAGTCCTAATGAGGTCAGAGAATATGACCTAACCACACTGGTTTGAACACCATTAAAACCAGTTTCTAAAACAGGTTTTTACAAATGAACTGGTTTCTGGATGCATATTTGGAGAATGTTTGACGTTTTTTTTTTTCAATTCTTATTTTATCTATTTTGGAAGTCGTTAAAATGGGAACTTTATTTCCGTTTCTATGATTTATAAGCTGACATGTTTCTAGCTATTTAACCCGCTCTCAGCTCTGGTACTGAATCTGGTTAGTCCGCAGGGAGTGGTAGTGGTGTGTAGTTTGTTGCTTGTGGAGGTAGATGCTCACATTCTCGAAACATTCAATGCTCTGGAAAAACTGGATTAGAAAGACATTTTTTCAGACTATCTATAATTCACGATTTAATACAAACCTTGTTTGATCGATGTAAACTCCTGAAGTGTCTTTAATTATGCAGGAAAAGTTGGTAACTTCAATAAACTCTTAATGTTTTATTTATACATTTTTACCAATCCTGCTGCAAGACGTTATTTAAATCCTTATTTGTAAAAACAAATCATATCGCAAGTAAATCTTGGTTGAATCTTCTCATTTGATTCTTAATTTCTATTTAATGCTTATTTATACTTTATCTTTGCATGTATAACCAAATGGTTTCTGTTTCTCAATTAACTACACTTGTAAGTGTAATGCAATGGGGACTGAGTTCCAGAGTACATTTATTCATTCTGGATAAACTTCTGTTAAATCAGTAATGTTTCTTGTGCCGTTTTAAAGCATAGTTAGAAATATTAGCAGCTTCTTCTTTTTAATGGCAAATTACGTCCGGGTTGAGCATTGCATCATCTTGAGTGTACACTCAGTTTCCAGGATCTGTAAATGCTGACTTTTTACAACTTTTGTTATCTATAATTAACATGGTGGCCAATTTGAATGACAAGTATCCACAGCTACTCATCAACTTTATTACCTTTATGACACCATCTTAGTGCTCATATGTAAAATTTTGCCATAATAGTCACTGTAGAAAAGCAATGCAGTAGACCGCAAATTAAGATACAGTGCTGGTGTTCATCGATTGTTTGTTTAGGCAGCTAGTAAAGCAGTTACCTGTACCCCATGTATGGATTATTAGGTCTTTATATTGCTTAAATAAAAACCAGGAAGTCCCTGGTGGACTTAGTCAAGTGCTGCTTTTTTAACACTTCCAATAGCTGGAGGTGTTTAAGTTCTAATGTATGTAGTCGGTCTCAGCAGTGTGCAGATACTGTTTAATTTTGTTGTGATACATAGCTTCTGTAGTAGATTATCATTAATGCAGCTTAAAACTCAACCAATGTTTTTATTAACTTCCAAACTGTATCATTCATATGCCAGATGGGTTTTCACGAGGAAAATGTGAAATACTCATAATGGTTATTCATTTTGTACGTTAAAGGTTTATCTTATCTTACCTTGAATGTTCTCAGTAACTTAAATCCATGTTAAATATGATCTTGATCTTTTTTTACCTTGTTGAGAGAAATTGATATTAAACACCGTATATAGTCTGCTTGTTTTAAATGGTGTATATACCCAGAATAAAACACTTGTTTTGAGTGAATAGAAAACTGGTGTCTCTTTGGAAAATAAAAGATGTGAGAACTGCTGCTGCTGCAGCAAGAAAGTTGTAACTCATTCAGTGTTCTCCTCTTCAAGAAAACAATGGACCTTTTGATTCAAATTGATAAAATACTGTATTGAAGAGTTTTAGCTTCTTAATTGGTGCTCTTCCTTCAAGCATTAGTGTTGCTGCTGCTAGAGCTAGCCCTAATGTTTGTCAGCTTGATTGTCATTTGATGTTTAAAATACTTAATCTGTTATACAGTTTGAAGCAACCACAATCTGAAAAGTGACGGTGATGTGACCTAGAATGGTGAGAAATGAGCTGGTCGGACATGTTTAATTCTCCGGAGGGCGAGCTAAAGGTGCAGAATGAAGACTGTTGTTTATTTTAGCCATTCTGTTAGATCCAGCCATATCAAGTAAAGTGATCCAGTACTGGTATCTTTAATTTGCCTAGCCCTTTCAACATTTGGTTAGAATTAGTATCTTGGCCACACTCACACCTGTAGTATTGATTTTTGGATTTAACTCTTAAGTAAGTCATATTGTGTGTGGTTGCATAGCTGACAAAATATTGCAGGAGGAAGTAGTCAGTGGGATTTAGACATCTCTGCTGCAGTCATCATGTTTCATTCAATCTTCAGAATTGTTTTACAGAAGAAAGACTTGTCTTGTGAGCCAGCTTACTGTTGTCAGGCTGTAAAGCCTACTTAAAGTGAGAACTTTTTCTACAAACTAAACAGAAATTGTTGTGTTTCCATAGTCAGCCTTGATTACTAATGTGGGAACAAAAAGAACAGTCTAGATCAGCTCTAATTGGAAAGTGTCTTGAGATAACCAGCTATGATTTTTTTACCCCCAAAAAATAAAAATAAAAATAAATATATATATATGTGTATATGTATTGATTCTTTGGTTGATTTAACAGATTTAGTTAATGTGTATTTTCACAAATCAATTACCTGCTGAATTTCCCTCTGCGTTTTCACCTACTTTATAGTCCAGTGATTATAAATAAAAAGAGTAGGTCATAGAAATGAGTCAGCACATTGCAAACTGTTTCTGGCCATCAGTGATTAATCTCTTGATTAATTTAGTTGCTGCAGTGGATCAATCTATTTAAATAGGCTTTGAATTTCTCTTCCAATTAAAAAGGACACAGTCCATGAGTTTTAATAAAGTAAATGAAAGGGGCCCCATGACACTCTCTTGTACTAACTAACAGGAACATGGTTTTTATTGTCAGGCATCTCAGCAGCTTGAGAGGAATCTGGCCTTGGTATTAGAGGGGTAAGCAGCTTGTTAGCCGTGGCTAGAGCTTGCACACACAAACACACATCATCTGTCATAATCATCAGCCATTTTATATATTTAATTTTTTACAACTATTTAATCTGTTTCTAATCACTTAACACCTCATCCAATGTTATCAGAACGTTCTTCTGAAGAATTCTGTTCACTCCAGTTACTAAGATTAGCCTACCAACAATAGACATTTGAAATATGCAGCATTTAACAGCTAAGACTTGCCATTTAGGCAAAGTGCTCACAAGATATGAAATGAAAAACGGCCCGTTTCTCCACTTGTGCAGTGGCTCATTTCATTGGTCATAGTGAAAGCTAGTTTTACAGCATGTGCTTCGCTACTGGTCTTGTATGTTATGTTGTAAAAGTAGGACAACTGTTAATAATTCAATCGTACACATGGCTTCCAACATGTTTCGACAAATGTATTATTTTTTTTCTTGTTGGAAAAGCTAGTTGTGAGTTTTTGAGTCATAGAAAACTATTGAACCAGTGTGGATAGGGGCCCCTGTCAGTGGGGGCCATTTGGTGTGACCCATGATGCTGTCCAAGGGGACAGATGACCAGCCAACTGATCCCCCCTAGGAGCTGCAACTGTAGCGGTGAGATGAAAGGCAACCAGCTAACGTATGCATATAGACACGCACACAAAACCCCTGTGACCCCCCAAAGTCTGGACACTGTTACTCTCACACATCTTAAATTAATTTTCCTGACACATTTGAGTGACCTCCACTGGCAAGGCCTCCTGGCCTCTGCACTCACACGTTCTCTTTCTCTGTCAAAGTGTTGAAGGCTCTTCATCTGTAGAACTACTGCAGGAGGTGGTCACTTCATCAGTGTGTCCATTTTACTGTACATCTGACAGTTAAGCCATCATTGTAGCCTTAAAGACACACACGGACTCTGACATGGTGGCACAGGGAGCAGAGTTCTCAAAGTCTTGCTCAGTTGCAGTCAGAGAAGGACAGCGATTGGTAATGTACACTGAACTTGCATCGCTCCAAGACACCATGGAGAGAGATTAACAGTTAAGCAGGTAGCCGAGTATAACAGGAGACAGACTTATTGAGGGACAAATAAACGGTTGGACAAGTTACCCGGACAACATCAACAGGAGGACCTGCTTCCAGAGAGAGACATCAGCTGTCAGGTTGGTGCAAATACACCAATCCCACTGCCACTCTAGAGGACTGAAAACTTCTGTCGTCTATCCAGCAATTTGCTTACTCTGGACCGATCAAAAGACAAGTCCTGCAGTTATCCAGTCATCTGATACCCATTGTAGCTATTTACCTATCAAGGAGGACTGAAATCATCTGCTTTGACAAACAAGACTCAAACTCTAGTTTCTTTCACGCATACAATTATGTAACTATAAGGAGATGTCAAAATCTGTTGTACAACATTCCCTTCATTTTGTTTTTTATGAAATCAGGAGCATCTGATAGATGTCTGGCTATCATTTTTTTCATCCACCTGTTCCTCCCTCCCTAAGACAGCACTCCTGCCCTTGCTGCTATAATCCCCTCATTATGCTGCCGCAGAAAGTGGCTCTCTTTCCAGCTGAGGAAGAGCTGGTTAGCTTGTCCACTGTCTATGATCTCCTAGATGAACAAGAGCACTGCTACACTGAGCTCCTCGAGCAGCAGGAGAGGAATTACAGAGCCTTCCTGCAGATGCTGATGGACTCATCATCCAGCCGGATGGACAGCCTGGTCAGAGAGATGCAGGAGCTGAGGAGCTGCCTTCAGAGCACCAAGACCGAGTTAGCAGAGGTTAAAAAACAGGGAAGCCAGAACAGCAAGCGGGCTGAGTGTCTGGCTGAAGGCTTGGTGATGGTGCGGGGGGCAGTGGATGGCCTCGGCATGAAATCAGGAATAACTGGAGGAGGCTCGGGAGGAAGAGGTGTGGATCTGAAGCAGCGCAGAGGAGGTGGCGGGTTAAGACTAGATGGACGAGGAGTTGGAGGCAGAGGTGGACAGGCGAAAAAACCAGAACCAAAAGCAGTAACGCTGGTGGCAGACCTCACAGATATTCACTTTGATGGGCTAAAGGTTGTACTCAAATTGCACACACAGTGATTAATTAAAATTATAAAATAATTAATAATCCAAATTATTAATGGATTAATAGAGTTTGAAACAAGGAGGTATTGTCGTGTTGTCTTTAAAGCAAAGAACTCGCAGTGTTGTTGTATTTGGTATTTGAAGGTTATTCTGGTTCCTACTCAATACGACGTGTTAAAGGTAAAAAGATAAATGTTGCAACCTTTTTACCGAAAACTCTTTTGAGTTGATCTAGCTTCATGTTTGCTTGTTCTGCCCACTTCTTTCTCTGTATTAGACCTACAATTATATTTGAACCTTGTATCCATGGCCTTGTTTCAATTGTCATTCTTCATTAGAAATGGAGTTGAAATCAGTCTCTGGTCTAAAGTTGTTCTTTGGCTCATTCTTTTTGCCGTACCTGATACATGTTAAGATGGAGGTTTTTTTCCGCATGTTTACTTTACTTTACTAGTGTTTAATCACTCGTGTGATGCTATTGCTGATTTGCTTTTGGCAAGCATGAAAGCTTTTGAACATAGATAAAATTAATAAGTAATCTCCTGTCGTCTTTGTGTTTTGGATTTTTAGGCTGACCAACTAACAGAAGAGCAGATTGCAGGTAGAGTAACAATATGATAACACTACTTTTTTATCTTCAGCAATAAACACGTTCTTTGCAATGTCAAGACACCATCACATGACTTCGGCTGTTGCTAACATTTCCTCCTCCTTGGATCCTGTCCCTCTCCTCTCTTGCCTCTTTTCAGAGTTCAAGGAGGCCTTCTCCCTGTTTGACAAGGATGGCGATGGTACCATCACCACTAAGGAGCTGGGCACAGTCATGAGGTCACTGGGACAAAACCCAACTGAGGCCGAACTCCAGGACATGATCAACGAGGTGGACGCTGATGGTACGCTGATTCTTCTTCAATTTGTGGAGGGATTTAGTTGCAGCAGGTGTTTGTAGAGCTCTTTTAACAATATTGACTGATTGTATTAATGACCTCTCCCCCACCCCAGGCAATGGGACCATTGACTTCCCCGAGTTCCTGACAATGATGGCAAGGAAGATGAAGGACACTGACAGCGAGGAGGAGATCAGAGAGGCATTCAGGGTCTTTGATAAGGTAAGCTCCTTTGTGTGTTTTCTCATCAGCAGTTAAGCATTAATGTATGAAGGGAAGGTGTTTGTTCTGAGATCAGCTTTTAAGCTACAGCTGACAATAGCCCATTTTTATACAGAGATGTTGGGATAACTGTAAAGAGGGACTGTCAATATTCTGCCCATGGGTTATTTAACACTGAGCCAAACAAGGAAACATATTTCTGCCCCTGTGTTTTTCTGAAGCCATGAGGCACCTAGCGTGACATGTAAAAAACAAGTTGGGCAGCAACATACATTTCTTTAAAATGTTACTGTTCTTTACTGTCCCTGAAACAGCTGTTCCAGTGATCTTGTCTTGTCTATGGAGGATAAGGTGCTCCTATAGCCTTTGGTCTCCTGACATTTTCCAATAGGCTGGCTGCTAACAGTAAATGGTGACAGGATGCACACAGAACATCCTCACAAAGTTACAACCTTGTCCCAACTTGCTAGTTCTCCCTTTTACATTGACATAGACTCAGCTCTGTTACTTCCTTCACTGCTGGGGTAACGGCTAACCAGTCTTTGTTCATACTTTTTTATAAAAAAAGAGATGCTACAGGGTCTGAAGACCGTCTCTGTTGTAGACTGTTTGACTGTAATGCTGTATGTTTGTTGGGCAGGATGGCAACGGTTACATTAGCGCTGCAGAGCTGCGTCATGTGATGACTAACCTGGGAGAGAAGCTGACAGATGAGGAAGTAGACGAGATGATCAGAGAAGCAGACATCGATGGAGACGGCCAGGTCAACTATGAAGGTACAAGAGAGCCAAGTCTGAAAACTTATATAGCACACTCAGGCTGTTCTTGTTCTGAGTTTTATAGTTGAATATGTTGTAGAACAGGACACACTTTGTGTCCCTGTCATCGTCTTTTTATTTAAAAAATATTATTGTCATACCAGATGATGTGTTTCTGTTTCTGATGTTCTTTATTGTTTTGTGTTCCTCCACAGAATTTGTTCAGATGATGACCGCCAAATGAACTGGGTTCAAAGCAAAGACGAAGAATCAGTCAAATGTTTCACTTACCTCTTATTGCAAAAATCTACATTTATTCATAATGTTCTGTATAGACAACTTAAACTGAATGTTGGAAGACTGAAATTCTGTTCATAAAAACAAGCTCAAAAAGACAAAAAGAAAATCCTAAATGAATCTGCATGTACTGGCTTGTATTCCCCGCCCCCCAGCGCTGTGCTGCCCAATCAGATCTCAACATGTTAGCTGAGCAGCCTCTCTGCAGCTGGCTGGTTTGGCCTCTGCTCCTCTGCTTCCTGGTTCCATCTGCCTGATGTCATGATGATTCTATGGGCTGGCCAATCGCATTTCTTCCTGACTTCCTGTTTTCTTTCTTTCTGTTCTTCATGCATGCAGCTTTAGATGGGTTACTGTTGGGGGGCCCAATGGCAGGGGGCTGTCATTGGGTCTCAGGTTGGTCTGGGACCCACTGAGAGGAGGGAGGGTTAGTTGTTGGATGGATGGGAGTGAGTAAACCAGCGGAAACATTGCAGTTTGCTCACCTAAATCAAGTCAGTGACGACAGATATTTTTAAGAAAAATATTAAAATGGAATAAATAAGAACTCATTTTAGATTCTGTGTTTCTGGCATGTCAGGATACTCGCTTTATCCTTTGTGTGTTTACCTTTTTGAGGGGGAAGCTTGGGTGGGGTGTAGATTTGAGCCCCTTGGATGTTGGCTGTGTTATAGATTATTTGGAGGGGTGGGGGGACTTTCAAGAAAATTATAAACATGAGACATTTTTGGGGCAATATTTGACAGTTTCTGCAGAGATGGATAACTAATTGTTGGTAACAGTATATTGCCTCAAAGATTGCATGTTTATCTGGTGTCTTCGGGGGGGGGGTTGATTTCAGTTTAGTGGGGACGGGGTCGGTGCTTTGCAGCATTTCTATCTTGTGTTTGTGTGAGTTTGCGTGTGTAAGTGTGTGTGTGTGTGGGTGCGGCGAGGCCCGGCCCAGTCCAACTGTTCTGTTCAGTTCAGTTGATCTGCATTCCAAGTTGTACATGCTAGTCTTTACATTTTGTTTTTCCAATAAAATACCATGAACTAACATCTTTGTGTTTGTTTCTTCTAATGAGCGCAGTTGATCTGTTCATGGAGTCTGTGGGGGAAGTGCTGCTTTATGATGACTCATCATGTGCTACTTTTAACATACAATGTGTTTCTGTGTGAAGTGTAAGCACCTTAAGGCACTGAAGCCCACAAAGTTAGGGGGATAGGTCATAATCCTGCATTCCTGGATCTACTAATCACAGGATCATATAGTTGGTAAATAAAACACTAAACCACAAAACAGCTGGACTCAGTCACAAGTACTGGCACTATTTCAAACAATACAGCTACTTGTTTAGAAGACATGAAAGTATGAAAAAGCAAAGGCAGTATTGAA